ATTAGGAAACAAAATCCAACAATATGCTGTATACAAAATTTGCTTTTCTGCAGTCTGTGGATACTCAAAAATACATTAAGGAAGCAGAGAACTTTGTTTCCAGAGAGCAGATGAAAATGGTCATTGGTATTGTAGACTCACATTGTAAGAGACTCAAAAGTTCTGAAGGGTATGTGAGGGTGAAAATGGCTCACGTCCGGAGAGTGAGTCAAAGTGTTCTTTCACATGCCCAGGTTGTAGACTGTAGGGAGAACTACTATGTAAATCTTCTCACTTGCTCCTTAGGCTCCCAGTCAACTACATCTTCCTGATGATGGTGGCGGCTTGGGAAGGAAGCGTCAAGGACACATAGGGCCTATTTGTCAGCACCAGAGCAGTGGGGATTGGATGTCAGGTGTGGTCTTAAGTATCAGCATATGTCTGCCAGCTCCAGCTTCTGGGCCTTGTGCAGGACAGATGAAGACATAATCCCAAGGGGATGGCAGACAGTTGGAGACAGAAAGGGGACACCAGATGGAAGCCTTGCTGCATGTGGCAGGCCCATCTGCTGATGACAGGTTGGAATCCATGCATCTTAGCCCAGGTAAAGTTTGGGTACTTTCCCAAGCCTGAGCACAACCAGGAGTGACTTATTCAGCAGAGAAGTGAGCAGTCCAGGGTGTGCAGGGAAGTCAGGGAGACAGAAAACATACCTATTTAGGATGAGGAGAGGGCTTCTCAGGATGTTTCTGTCACTGAACAAAACTGTTCTCCCTGTCTTTGTTCTGTGAGACAGGGTCTTGCTATGTAGTCCAGGCTTGCCTTCAAATCATGGAGCTCCTTCTGCCCCAGCCTTCCAAGTGCTAGGATTACAGTACACCACCATACCTGGCTTACTTGCTTTTTGAGATTGAATCTTACTGTGCAGTCCAAGGCAGCCTTGAACTCTCCATCCTCTTGCCTTAGCCTCCCAAGTATAAGGGTTAGAGGCTTATACCACCAAAGCTGGCTTCTACTTTACATTCTTAAAAATCTATTTTGCAATATGCAAGGGGAATGATATAGAGAACAACCGTATAACATTATGTGGTACAGAAATGTGACGTTACCAGAATCTGAGAAGCCTGCTGTGTACTTTCCTGTGACCAGGTGACCCTCGGTCAGTGCCAGACACAGCCACCAAATGAATTCCATGCTTTCCATCCCCTTCTTTTACTGCCCCCATGTGTACCTAAACAATGTATTAATTTGTTTTGTATATTTTTTGAATTTTATGTAAGTGGGCCCTTACTGTATGCATCCTTTGACTTCTTTTGCCCATATTTAAAGCTATGCTGATGTTATCTGGTGGTGTTTATAGTTTACTCCTGCTCTCTGCTCTAGAAAAACCAGCTGTGTGCTTTCTGGGTTTTGGCTGACATACAGATGTTGTGCTCAGTGGGGCTCCTGGAGCACACAAATATATCAGTGTGTTTTGTTTAGAAAACGGTGCAAGTGTATTTGTAACTGCTTCTGGCAGTTGCATGCTTGCTCGTAGTGGCTGTTTTCAGCATTTCTTTTTTTTTTTTTTTTTTTTTTTTTTTTTTTTTTTTTTTTTTTTGCGGAACCAGGGATTGAACTCAGATCCTTGCGTTTGCCAGTCAAGCGCTTATCCTACTGAGCCATCTCCCCGGCCCTTTCAGCATTTCTTGTCCTTGTGACATTTAGCGTTGTCCAGCTTTCACATTTTGGGGACTTTAGTGGATGTGGAGTGGTAAATTACTGTGGGTGTGGGGCTCTATGCGCATGTGCTTTCTGTGACGTCCAAAGCTTCTGTGTACAGTGCAGAATCTACTCCTCTTGTGTTGCTTATATGTGTTATAGATATCTTCTCTCTGTTTGTGGCTTTTCTCTACTTTTTTTTTTTAACTGAAATAAAAAATGAATTCCCCATATTGCCACCTAAAATTTTATTAACTTTGTCTTCATATTTACTTTAAGCATGGGCTAAATAAAATTAACCTTTTTTTTTTGCAAATGGCATGAGGTAGACATATAATTCTAATTAAAAATATGGATAACTAATTGCTACATCTATCTATGTATCTATCTAAATGTATATTTTTTGTGGTGCTGGGAATTGAACCCAGGGATTGTACCTGTGAGACAAGTGCTCTACCTGAGCTACACCTCAGCCCTCTCTACCACATTTATTAAATAGTCTACCCTTTCCCTATGTGTCTGTAATCCCGGCTCGCTCATAACCTTTCACATGCTGTTTATAGGTCTGTCTCTGTTCATGCTGCCCTGCTACACTGAAGCCATGATCACAACTTTATTTATTTATTTATTTATTTTTACACAGGGAAGCAGTTTAAATTTTATTGACCTCTCAGTTTTTTAAAGAAATTAAATTTGGGCTCAGGAGATAGCTCGGTGGTCTAAGTGCCTGCCTGGCAAGCACGAGGACCCAGGTTCATCCCTGTTACAGCATGCTGTGCAGGCCCCAGAACACCAGGCACGCCACATGGGCCACCGAAACCAGACGTGGTGATGCACACCTATAATCCTAGCATTGGGAAGACTGTGACAGGAGGATCACTATGAGTCTGAGCTGCAGAGCAAGACCCTGTGCCAAAGAAAGAAAGAAAGAAAGAAAGAAAGAAAGAAAGAAAGAAAGAAAGAGAAAGAAAGAAGCCAACATTTTTCATGCTCGGTACTAATACTAAAAAAAAGAAGTCAAATTTTAGGCAATATCTTCCCTCGAGTTTGATGTATTACATGTACATTGTGCAGAATATGACTATGAAGAGATACAATTAGCCCATGCCCCTAAAGATGTGCTAGCACACAGAAATTGCTTCAGAAATATATATTCTTGTGAAGATAAAGGTGACAGTCTGACTTTTCTGGGACACTTTTGAAAGCAATTTAAGACATGAATTGCACCCTTGACATGAGCACCCACATTCTAGGTTTTGTGCCTGCCAGAGATCCGGCTCCATGGCTGTGATGAAGCTAAATCTATGGAGTGAGATTATGTTTCTTAGGTGCAAAAGCACAGACGTATAAACACTGTGCTGATACTTTCTCCAGAATATGGAGAATACAATACCTGTGCTTTATATTATTTTTTATTTATTTATTTGTTTTTGGCAGAACTGGGGATTGAACTCAGGCCCTTCTGCTTGCCAGGCAAGTGCTTATTCTACTGAGCCATCTCCCCATCCCTGTGCTTTATTTTAAAAAGCAGTCCCAAAAGCTGGGTGTAAACCCAAAAGATACAAATGTTTCCACTTTGGGTGATTCAATTAAGAGCCTATATAAATTTGTTCCCAGGAGCTAACTCATCACCTGTCTCTGTGAAGGAAAATAAACTCTAAAAATTAACGCTTGTTTTGTTCTGTTCTGTTTTTGTCTTTTTGAGACAGTTCAGGCTGGCCTTGTAGCCCATGTTGGTCTTGAACTCGCAGTGGTCCACCTACCTCAGCCTCCCGAGAGCTGGGATTACAGATGTGTGCCAGCATGCCCAGCTTTCACATGACTTTTAAGTATTTCAAATCTCACCATTATGTAAAAACCTAGAGAGACCCATAATATCCAGTAGCTTTAAGAGATAAACTAAAAGATTGCCTGTTGTAATCAACTTTACCAAAGCTGGCCAGACCTGTTTAACCATATATATATATATATATATATATATATATATATATATATATATATATATATATTGTACTGTTGGAGATGTAGAAAAAGAAACAGAATTCAAAAAGTCCTCTTCAATATCTTTCACTTCAGAATCATCAAAAAAACAACCACTTCCTCTCATGCTCCTTTCAGCTTTGCACTACACATGCAGTGGTGTTCTCAGATCCGCTCATGGAGATGCCTGTTTGGTCCCTGGATTCCTTGTTCCTATCTGCTTCATGAGACCCGTCAGCTCCGTGAATCTCAGAACTTCAGCAAATGCTATGCTGGCGGGCGTGTCAGGATTAGACACTTTGTTGTACAGCTCTTTGCTCCCTTGTCCTCCAAGAAGTCTCACAGCTTCTGTATTTATTTTGTTCAAAACTTTATTGGCTGTGTATTTCCACCAACTCTCATGGACGCTTCTTCACTACTATAATTTTCAACTGCCCCCCTTACTTCCTCCTCATTCAGTGGTGTCAGCTTATGAACATCACACATCTGGTCAACCACAAAGTTCTCCTTATCTAGCTCTAAGCTGTTGAGTTTGGTGACTGGACACAAGCAGTGTAATGACCACGGCTAACTGCAGTACCACTGTGCTTTACAACTGCAAATATTCCATGGTTGTCATTAGCTAGAGCTGGGAGAGCCACCTCCTCTCCTGTGAGCCTTTTGCAGTACTGCTAGTGTCACACTGTGGCCCTGAGGACAGTGATGGACAGTACTAAGAGGACCTGCGGGCAGGACTTTTGCATTTTAATTACACAAACCAAAATTCTTCCCAGCTTTGAAAATCCCAGTACTGGAGGTGGACCTGGGGCCTGAGTGGGCTGCAGATTCCAGCGTGCTTCCGGATCTCAGTTCCTCTGTAGTTTTTTCCACTTTGAAGGGCAAGCCTGACTCTAAGTCCTCCACGATTAGAGTCCTCTACAGTTCCAGGGTTCCCGGTGGTGGAAGGGCTTGAGATGAGTCTGCCTGATGACAGTAGGGACGTCCTGCCCTCTGTGGTCTCAGGACCGAGTGGGTCCACATCTGGAGGGCCAAATTACTAGTTAAAGACATAAAACTTGTGGCAAAACCATTAACTGAGTATTTGCAATTTATCAGCAGTTCCTGAGCACGAGCTGCTGTTTGTGTTCTCATGATTCTGTACTGCACAATGGAAGTACACAAAAAGTGTGTGGTTAGATTTCTTAACTTCTGGATTTAGTTATCTCTGACAAGGCAAACTGAGCCAGTCTTCAGTGTTAGCTCCTAACTTAATGAGCAGTAAATTAAAAGAATCAGTTCTGATAAACATGCTGGCTTATAGGCATGCAGTGCATATAAACATTCTTTTTCTTTGCTTCCAGGATTTTGACTCTTTCTTCTCTGCCAAAGAAGAGAATATCATTTATTCATTCCTTGGTCTGGCTCCCCCTCCAGGGTCAAAGGTAAGCTGAACATGCTCCATGCTGGTTGCAATAAACCAAGACCAAGCAACATGGCTTAATGCCCAATGATCCCTATGTTAGCATGATTTTTTGGACATGTGTGGAATACTTCATGAATGTGCATGTCATCCTTCTACCAGAACCATGTTGATTTTTTCTGTGTCATTTCTGTTTTGGATATGACTTTTTAAATTTTAATTTAAAAAAATATATTTTAGGGAAGGGTCTACAGTGTGTTTAGGGTCTCTCTACTAAATTGAACTCGTAGTGATCCGCCTGTTTACAGCCTCCCAAGAGCTGGGATTATAGGAGCATGCTACCATACCCAGTCTCAATTGCCATCTTAGCATACTCTGGGGGCAGGTAGGCACAGCAGGCCCAGGGATCAAACCCTGGACCCTTGCGCTTGCTTGCAGGCACTTTAATCCACTGAGCTATTTGGCCGGCCCTGGTGACATGACTTTAATATACTCTAAGAATTCTTTCGTGTATAGATAATGCCAGGTTTTTAACGGAAAACTTTAAGATTATGTTTTTCCTGTTTTTCTTTTTGATTTAGTAAAGTTTATAATACTCAAATATACATGCTGTGGTTGGAGCTCAGTGGCTGGACATTTGTTTGCTTAGCATGTGTGAGGCCCTAGGCTCCATCCTATGTAAGAGCTGTCCTGAGGTCTTCGATGCAGGATGGAGGGGACAGGGGACCAAGGCAGGCAGGCAGCCTTTGGGCTGTGACCGGGCTCTGAAGTCTTTCTTCTGTACAGTGAGGACATTGTAAGTGCTTTAGGAAGAGGATTCTCATACCCTTACTTCTTTAAAAAAGAAATGGCTATTGTGGAACAAATGGATTCCAAAGGGTGGAAAAACTATTGTAATGCAGCTGAACTCCTGGCAGCTTGGATGAGGTGGTGGGGAGAGACCCTGAAGGAGGTGGATAATTTTAGGACTCATTTTGGTGGAAGCATTGCGAAGGCTTGCTGGTGAACTGAATGTGAGTGAAGGGATAGTGTGAATAATGAGTTCTAGTCATTGTGGGCGGCAGCCCTGTGGAAGATGGAATTTACAGAGGGAGGCTACACTAGAGCAACACCTGGAGCGAACACCTGTGTCTCAGCAGAGTCCTGCTGGAGGAGCACGTGTGGACAGAGTCCAAGTCAGGGAACTGGATGAAACTCAGACATGAGAGAGGGTTAGGTCAAGGACACCAGGTAGGGATGGGGCAGGCCTCGAGCTTGTAGCTGGGTGGAGGAACAGAAGGAGCCAGCAGAGGGGCCAGACGGAATGGAGGGCCTGAGGCCCGGCCCAGCAGGGCTGGTGGTGGTGAGGAAGCCACAGAGCCTCTTTCCCCACAGGAGAGGGTGATCTCGGTTGTGCCTGTAGCCATCATAACTTTTGTTACATATTGTCATATTGGCACATCATGGCTTACTATGTGTAAAATTCCTATGTGTAAAATTTTATTAATATTATTATTGTTATTTTAAATTTTATGTATTTAGTACAGGGCCTCAGTACACAGATCATACTCATAGTGATCCTCCTGTTTCAGCCTCATCAGTGCTGAGATTACAGGTGTGTACCACCATGCCCAGTTTTGGTGGCTGCTTTGGCGTGCCTGGGGTGGGCCAGCATTCCATGCTGTACCAGGGATCAAACCTGAGTCCTTGTGCTTGCCTACGCAGGTGCTTAAACCACTGAGCTAACTTCATGGTCCCTAATTGTTATCTTAAATCTGTTTATGCTGTTACATTTCATAACGGTCCCATAAATAGCTTACCTATTGTTCTATCAAATTCGTGTGGCCATAATTTGCTTATAATTTGAATTTTGGGTTATTCACCATTTTTTAAAATGACAAATAACTCTGCAGTAATTATTGCCAAAAAATAATGTTCTTTCTTTTGAAGTACTTCCTTAGGATAAGTTGCCAGTAACTCTTAGTGAGACCAAGGTACCCTATATATTTGTGGACTTGGAAGGTGCCACAGATTGCTGTGGGCACTGACCGGCTTCACTCTTTTCCAGATGTGAGTGTGTTTAAGCTCCTTGGTGTTCAGGGTACTCCATTCTATTTAAAAAATTTGTTTCTGTTTTACATATGTTTTTTATAACTCAATGTATATTTTTTGAGAGCCTGTTTAGAGATTCTAGCAGGAAGCAAAGCTACTCCTATACCCTTGACTGAGGAACAGGCCTCCTTTATTGGAGATGGTCATCCTCTTCTACCGAGCACACAGCTTCAGGAGGGACACACATGTGGTGGTGAGGAAGGAAAGGGACAACCTGCCAGCCAGCCAGATCAGCCCTGCCAATCAACAGGGTGACAGATGTCACAGCCAGATTGTCCTCATATCCATCAATGTATAGTTTTTGGTTGATATTCTTTAATTGACAAGTAAAAATAATGAGCATTTATTATTTTGATGATTGGAGGTATGAGTACAGTGTGGAATTGCCAAGTTGAGCTAAGTGACATACACATTGTGTGTGTGTGTGTGTGTGTGTGTGTGTGTGTGTGTGTATGTGTGTGTTGAGAACATTTAAAATCTGCTCTCTTACTGATTGTCCACATATTTATAATAGATGTGTTGAACTTATTCCTGTTAAGAGACAGTGCATTTTCATTCTGTCCCAGAATTCAGCACCAAAGTAAATGATAAAGAAGGCAGGGAAGAGAAGGCATATCTAACATGTAGTATTTGAGCAGTGCCTACTGTTTCTATAATAATCCTTTTAGGACTTTGACCTTCCTAATATTACCCATGTACTCATCTGATTAAAATTTATTTCTTCCTTATTTGGACTGGGCTTGCTGAACCTTTTAACCTTGGAGAGTCACACACCTCAGTTCTGCACTTGATCTTAGCCAAAAGGGGGAGCAGCAACTTGCACCTCAGTTCTGGAAAAGTGTTGGGAGTCTTTCTGGGGTGCATTTTCTTCAGTTTCTATTTTCTTTTCTTTTTTGAGTTATTCTTACTTGAGTGCTTGGCTCTCCTAGACTAGTGTTTCACTTTTCTTATGTTTTGTCTCTTGTTTCTTATACTTTTGTGTTTCTACTTTCCTGGGGTACTTCCTCACTCCTGTTTTCCTCCTTTCCTGGAGGACCCCAGCATGGATCTAGCCCATCTTTAGTTTTACACCTATCTGGCTGTCTCTACAGACAATATCTCATATTTTTTTGTACTTTTAAAATTGGATAATTGCTATCTGATGTTATGGAATTTTCTTTTTAAAACATTTTGTACCTTTTAATTTATTGGTACATTTCAGGTACACATAATGACCACATTTAGTACAGGGAATCTGTATCTTTACATGATATATCTTGTTTACTCTCTTAGGGAGCCATGGTAGAAGTTTTATTAATCTTTAAAGCAGCAGTAGTAGACTCTGCTACTACTAAGTTAATCATTTCTATGAGACTCCAAATAGAATTCAGCCTTAAAAACTCTACTATTCACATAATACCATTTAATAGCTGTCAAAGAAAATATATGAATATATAAATCATGAAGCTAGAAGAGCTTGAGCAGATTGTTTCAGGTCATAAAGCTCCATGCTGTAACCCTAACATTTGAGTTCAGTGTTTTATATAAATGGATTCATGTTACATGTATCAATCCAATACATTCTTCACACCTCTGCATTGAAAGGTAGTATATTTGTAGAAACAAATTATCTACCATTAAGATTACCATAAATTTAAAAATCCCCCTTTACCATTTATGGTGGTATCTGTCATGCTAATATTTTATTCTGAAATGAACAATTATAAGAGAAGACCTAAGCATTTTTCCACCTTCTAAAGAAGAATCTATAATTCATACCTATTGTTGAGAGAAAATTATTTTTCCACATATCACACATTAAAAAGAAATTATAGTCAATTGTTGCAGAAACTGTAGTGAATTGGATGGAAAACACTTTGCACCAAGGAGTTGGAAGGCAACTTTTATTCATATTGCCAACAGGCTGATGGTGATCTTCCCAAAGCACCAGCCCTGGACAGAGTAAAATAGCAGCTTATATACATTTTGTAAGCAGGAAGTACAGAGTCAGTAATGGGTCAGTCTATGATTGGCTACACATGTTGAGTCATATGTTGTCAGGCAGATGTGTCCAGGGCAGGTTTATTTGGAGGCAGTCATTTATCATGAGTCAGCAAGGTCTGGGGAAAGTCAGGGTCTGGGCAAGTGGGTGAGATTTAGTGTGACCTTGACAGAGCTAGCCTGTCCTGGGTAAAGGGTCCTTGTAGCAGGCTGGCAAAACAGGATATTAGTGTAGGCCATTGTGCAGGTGTTCAGATAGGGCCAAGTCATATTATCTTTGAGTTGCAATTGTGTAGTCAAGGCTGGCTGAGTCTGACGGCCCAATTATGAAGTTGTATTTTTAAAATTTTCTATTATGTTTCATTTTCATTACAAAACAAATCTTCTTTTGCAAACCCCACTGTAATAATTGATTACAACATAATTGACAGATAATAAAATAATTGGTGAAAGGCAGTAGGTATGTTTTGGGGGAACAGATTAGATTTCCTGGGCTAAAATATCATTCCCATTTACCCTGTATTATCTGACTTTCATAACAAAGAGATTGATTTGCTGAATCCTTAACAAAGTAGCTATACCTAACTCTGCAGATAATACCGTGTGCTATTTGGTGTGCCACAAACAAGGAGTACACGATCTCACCTGTCAAGTGTTCCTGCTGCATATTTAAAGTTTATTCTCTCAAGAAAATGCATTTGAGCACATACTGCTAGACACTGGACTGGCAGAGGGAAAGGCTTTTGTGGTATAGAGGGGTAGATGTATGTTAGCAGCCTGCAGTTGATGGAATACTTGTCGATGTAAATATGGAGCTGACCTTCTGGTTTTAGGACTCGGACTAAGCTTTCCCTGTGGTTTGACTCTTCTAAAGCTCATGCGGAAATCCCAGTGCAGTGGCAGTGTGGTATTGGCAGGGGGAGCCTTTCAGACAGGATTAGATTGTTAATGCTTTTCTCTCCAGCCTGACTTCTTACAGTACTGGATTGGAGGCATCAGAGCAAGTTGCTATAAAGTGAAGCTACCTGGTGCTTTGTGTCCTCCAACATGCATGCCTGCCTTTCCACTTTTTGTTGTTCATGAGGCTCATGCTGATGCCACGCTTTGGGATTCATCACCCTCTAAAACTATGAGCCCAAATAAACCACTGTTCTTTACAAGTTACCTAGTCTCAGCTATTCTGTTCAAGCAGCAGAAAATGGAATAAGATAGTCTCCTCAGAGTGTTAACACATTGCTCAGTAGTTGAAGATCTAATAAGAGCTAAGCATGTGGAACAAGACAGTAAAGGTATTATGGGAAGATGGACTCGCCTGTGAAGACAATGAAATTGAGTTCTTGGTCCACTTGATGAGGTTGATCTTCAGTAGCATAGGAAGGTTTCTGGGAATGTAGATCCTGAGAGTGGATGAAGACCAGAGATGGGGCAAGTAAGGGGAGCCATCTTGCAAAAGGCCTTCCATAACTTCTGTAGGTGAAAAGAAAAGTCAGTGTGGAGCAATTTCTGTTTTATAAAAACCTATGACTCAGAGAGCAATGTAAGAACTACATTTTTAGAGAAAAACTCAGGATCTATGATTACATTTACAAGCTCAGAGCAAACACAATGCCTAACTCATAGGAAATGTTCAGCTCTAAGGCTGGAAGCAATGATTCTCTGACATGCCAAGGTTAGTGAAATACATGGTGTGATGGTTTGTTTGTGTCTGAACACCCCCTCTCCCTGCCCCAAGCCTCATGTGGTTAAGGGAAGTGAGCTTTTTGATGCAGCTAGATGTAGAGTTTGTGATTGGTTCATTGTCTAGTGCTAGGATTGGGGATGTGAGTGACACACCTGCCCTAGGGCGGGTAGCCTGCATACAATATAATGGCGGAGAAGAGGTTTTCTTTTTCTCTTCTTTTGCTTTTGCTGCTTTTGCTGTCTTCTGCTGCCATGAACCGCTGCCCTCTGCCATGTGCCACCCTGCCTTGAAGCCAGCTGATTACAGACTGAAACCTCTACAATAGTGAGCTAAATAAACATTTCCTCCCTTAATTTTGGGCACCAGGTATTTCATCTCAGCAATGAGAGAAAAGTAAGACATATGGTGATAGTAAATTTTTCAAATTGGAGGTAAGTGGGGCAGGTTTGTTTATTGCAACAAGCTTTTAAAAAAAACTGAGGTTTTGATATCTGAACAGTAAGATAAATCTATTTTAGTCTCTGATATGTTTCATCTTAGGTCATTTTCTTTTAACATCTTTTTTTCTCTTGCCAATTCTTAGGGTGTCCTATATGATATCTTGACCCATGTGTACAGTGCTTGACTTAAATCTGCCTGCACATACTTATTTCTTCCACCATTTATCATTTTGTTTATGGTGTGACCATTTGAACTCTTTCCATATAGTATTTCAGAAGACATTGTTGTTGTCTAAAGCACCCTGGAGTGCAGTAGCATGCCCAGACGTCATACCCCTGTCTGAGAATGAAACTAAGTACCTTGGTACTTGTGGAGAGACTTCTGCCCTTTCTCGCACCTCCTATTCTTTCCAGCCCTTAGAACCATTGTTCTCCCATCAGCTCTTTAAAAATTTGCATACAGATGAGACCATGAGGTATTTGTCTCTCTGTGTCTGGTTTATTTCACTCAACATGGTGACCTCCCAGCTCTATCCATGCTGTTGCCAACAGTCTTAGATTTTAGAACTTACCCTGATTTGCAGGGGTCATAATTTATGAAATTGTCCTTAGAGGAAGGAAAAGGATGGTTGTGGGAATGTGAAACCTGTCTGAAGAGACCTAAGAGCCCATCTAGTCTGATTCTCCTCCTCCCAAATGAGGAGCTTGAAGTGCAGGAACCTGAGTTATTTGTGTGTGGACAGCACAGTAACTAGCGACACTGTCCATGCTAGGACTGTTGGTGCTGTTGTGTTACTTGGATTTGGAGGAGTTTGTGCATGCACATGGGGAAAGTGTGAGTAGCCTTAGGAAGACAGATTCATGATTTATGGAAATGATATGACTTGTCACAGTGTCATATTGTCGTAAACAACATTGTGGAGAAGTGTCAGCAAGAAAGTTAATCTCATCTAAGCTAAAAATAGGGACCTTTGGCACTTATGTAGAAAATGTATGTTTATCAAATGATATTAAGCATCATAAGCAAAATTATGCCTTTAATTTTTTTTTTTTGGGCCAGGCATGGTGGTGTGTGCCTGGAGGCTGAGGCAGGAGGATCACCATGAGTCCAAGGCCATTTGGGCTACATAGTGAATTTAAGACCAGTCTGAACTATATAGGGAGACCCTGTCTCAAAAAACAAAACAAAACAAAACAAAAAAAAAAAAAAAAAAAAAAGAAGAAACTTTTTCTTGTCTTAGGCTGTGTGTACTAAGTTACTAGGTCAAGTGCTAACCTAGTTTTCTCAAAATGGCTTTGTAAGCAAATATTTGGGCCATAAAGTTGGTGTTTGTTTTTTAAAAACATCTGGTCAAGTTAAACAGAAGACCCAATGATATTATGGGCTACTGGACTCTTTTAGAATATTTTGCTGAGTTTACACACCTATAATATTCAATAACGGAACTTAGAAAAAATGGGGTATACCGATGAATGTCCATTTTGTATCTGTGTATTCAAAGTGGTTGGGATAGATATATAGTTACATTCTGTTAATGAATAGAATGATTTGTTCTAATGGTGTTTGTAAATAGGATCACAGGTCCGCATCTTGTACAGCAATTAACCACTAAGAAGAATATATGCAGTGTATTATTTGTTGAAAAATAAAAAAAAAATAAAAAAAACAAAAAAAAAACAAAAAAAAATTTTAATGTAAAAAAAAAGCAAACTCAAAAAAAAATAAAAAAAATAAAAACATCTGGTCATAAATGATTAAATAGACATCCTAATACTATGATGTATTAGGAAAGGCCTGTCTGTATCAACAAGGTTTTCTATTATTTCCTGACAAGAAGGAAGACAGTCTTATTAAATCTGTGCAAGTAAGTTTATTGCCACAAAAAAGTAAAATGCACATTCTAATTCAATAGAGTCAAGGAGAATTTTTGAATTCTGAAGGGATCAGGCAAAGAAAATAAAATATTATTTACAAATAATTCAGTTTATAAAAGCAGAATTGATAAAATTGCTATGATCTACAAAAATCTAAAAATGAAATGACAAAGCACTTTTTTGTATAACCAGAAAATAAGTCATTAAAATGACACCAGCAATCTTACAAACACAACTGCAGCCATTTTTTACCAATTCACGCTGTCCTCTGTAATTCTTAATCCACTGACTCTTAGGTCAGTGGTCTCACAAATCCATGTGCTTCTCTATCAGAGTTTTGAAATTTTGACTTGGTCCACTGGTTTTACTCAACTATCTTAAGGTGTTGCTGTCAGACAGCTGTGCCTGAAGCACCTGCTGAACTTGCTTCCTGTGAGGCTCTGCTCAGACTGCTTCATGGGGTGAAACATTTCCAACTGGTGGCTGATGATGAGAACATCAGGAGAACAGCCAAGTGAAACAGGCTAACAGAAATATCTGTAGGGGCTGGTGAGATGGCTCAGTGGTCTAAAGCACCTACTTAGAACAAGCTTAGCAAAGCACAGGGACAGTGGTTCGATCCCCAGCACTACATGCCAGCCAGCCCCGCCCCCTGGTGGGCTGAGCTGGCCACACACACACACACACACACACA